TGACCAGAGCTGGGCCAATCCGAAGCCAGGAACCAGGAGTTTCTTCTGGGTCTTTCACATGAGTGAAGGAGCACAAGCACTTGGGCCATCCTCTACTGCCTTCCCAGGCTGTAGCAGAGAGCTGGATTGGAAGTGGAGCAGCTGGGACCTGAACTGGTACCCATATGGGAAACCAGCACTGCAAATGGTGGCTTTACCCACTGTGCTACAGCACCAGCCCCCATCAATAATTCTGTTCATATTTCCTTCTAAATATGTCCAGTTCTCACCACCACTACTGTAGCCCAGTCCTGTTCATCAGCGTCATCTCTCACTTTAATTGTTAAAGTGCCCTCCTAGCCTCTATTACTGCTTCTGCCCTTGTGCCATTCCCATCTGTTCTCTGCTCGGTTGCTGGAGTGATGTTTTAAAAGTAAAACTTAGGTCAATATACCTTGCTGCTAAAAACTTCCACTTACAGTAAAACAGAAAGGCCTATATAATCTACCTCTCATTCACATCAGCCTATCTCCTGTTACTTCTCTGATTTTCCCCCTGCCCTCTGTCCCTCACACGTGAATGAACAAAGTTGGCAAAAGGGTTGGAATTTACTTCAAAGAAAAGGGCCAAAGGGCAATCAACTGCCTAAAGTGATGAGTAGGAGTTCTTTTACAGAGAGCGGTTTTATTATACTGAAGTTTGGTGAATTATGATTTCTGCATGCTTGTTTGGTATTGTTTTGAGTTTCCTAAGGTAGAGCACAAAAATGTAATAATCAAAATTAGGCTACGAACACAAAAATCTGAAGGTCACGAGTCTTGATTACACTATTTTGAACCTAATTTTACAGTCTGGTAGTATTTGAGATTCACTAATCGACGGTGCCCTCATTTTACAGATTGAGAAGTGGGCTTAGAGAAGTGACCGTATGCAGTGTCACCCAGGGGATCCTGGCTCATGGTCGCTCCCTGCCTCCTCTGGAGCAGTGTTGGCAAGGCTGGTATGATGAAGACTTCCAGCACTAGCTTGTTTGGGAGTCAGTGGTACTCTGAAATATTTGAGTTAAGATGTTCTGAATATCAATGAGCTTGGAAATGGGTTCAGTGTTTTTCCTGTTTCACGCCGAATTGATGTGTTTCTTTTGAGGGTAAGTGCTCTCATAATCTACCGTATGATTCAGGAGAGATTTAGATTTAAAGCTTGTCAATCAGTATCTGCCAAGGTGGTAATTGGAAATCAATATGTTATTTCCAGTGCCAGCAGAACATAGAGCCCTACTTGTCTGCTCTACTGTCACGGAAAGTTTAAAAGCTCTTAATGGATCAACAGATTTTGACTGAAACAGAAATCATTAAAAACTTTATGCAAAAATGGATCAGAAAATAAAGTCATTATAGTATCTCAGAAGTGATTATAAATCCCTAAGACTAAACGGGCTAAAATTGCTTGTACATCTCTAATTGTGGTGTGCTAACTTTCAAGTTTTCAAATAAAACTTTCAGTTGTTAGTTTTTGAAACTCTTTGCTTGCGTTTTGGGAGACATCAAAACCAATGAGAAAACTACAGACTTGACTGAACTAGATCACATCTAGTCATTGCATGTTAGTGAGAAGCTTGCACTCTGTCCCGTCTTAATAGTTGTCATGCCATAAAGCAATAGTACCACGTCAGAACTCTGTTAAACTATGGACGGGCTCAGGCGGCATCCAGGATGTCCTTACTGTGTGCCCTAGTGCTGTGTTAGCTAATGTGAGCGAGTTGCTGAAGTGGAGGTGATCCTTAGTTTGCCCTCAAGTATGAGATGAAGAAGTGTGAGTTTTGCAGCATGATAGTTGTGAGTTCAGATCCTGCTTCTGCATTGTCATAGCTCTAAACTCAGTAAGGTATACTTTAAAAAAAAAAGATAAATTCATTTATTTGAAAGTCAGAGTTTCAGAGAGGGTCGGGGAGGGACATCTATCTGCTGGTTTACTCCGCAAATGGCTACAACAACCAGGGCGGGGGCCAGGCTGAAGGCAGGAGCCAGGAGCTTCCTTTTGGTCTCCCACATGGTGGCAGGGGACCAGGGACTTAGGCCATCTTCCACTGCCCTCCAAGGCACATTAGCAGGGAGCTGGATCAGAAAAGGAGTAGCTGGGACTTGAACCGGCGCCCGTATGAGATGCTGGTGCTGCAGGAGGCAGCTTAACCCGCTGCACCACAGCGCTGACCCCTCAGTAAGGTATTCTAACTTCTCTGAGCCTCGGTTCTTTCATCTGTCTATTAGGGTTAATAATGGTGGCCACTGCGGTAAGGATGGTGGGAGATTATTCTTAAAAAGACTCCACATTTATTATGTCCTTAGTGACTGTTGGCTACTTTGTCCTGTACAGCTCTTGTATAAGGCATAGTAATTGACATTCAGAATGAGGCAAAGTGAGTATCTTGAACGCTTGAAGAGAGAGAAATCAATATATGCTGAGTGCTGGGTTGGACTTGACAGAGGAAACTGCATGGAGGAGGTAGGGACTCATAAAATCCATATGGTCAGAGGAAGCAAGGACAACACATAGTCCATGGATTCCTAATCACTTTTCCATGGAAACACCTACTTATAAAATGATGGTGTTGGCCAGCGCCGCGGCTCACTAGGCTAATCCTCCGCCTTGTGGCGCTGGCACACCGGGTTCTAGTCCCAATCGGGGCGCCGGATTCTGTCCCGGTTGCTCCTCTTCCCGGCCAGCTCTCTGCTGTGGCCCGGGAAGGTAGTGGAGGATGGCCCAAGTACTTGGGCCCTGCACCCCATGGGAGACCAGGATAAGTACCTGGCTCCTGCCTTGGGATCAGCGCGGTGCGCCGGCCGCAGCACGCCAGCCGTGGCGGCCATTGGAGGGTGAACTAACGGCAAAAGGAAGACCTTTCTCTCTGTCTCTCTCTCTCACTGTCCACTCTGCCTGTCAAAAAAAAAAAAAAAATGATGATGTTGTACCACACCCTGGGGGTAGACAAGTGAGACTTTTTATAGCTCAGAATGTCCTTCTCACAGACTGGCCGTTACTCAAGACGCTGCCTACTCAATAGAAGGGCTGAGAGGATCAATAGCTACACAAGCCTGTGAGTAATTTGTAACCTGATTGGGTACAGAGAACCAACAGGTTCAATGACCTGCGTTAAATCTTTTTTGGAATGAGGCAGGGGATGAATGAACAAAATCTGGATCAATCAATTTTCTATGCCTGGTTTTGTAGTGGCCAAAGTGTGGTGCTGGAAACTGGGGAGAGAAGGCCACATGAATACAAGGAATAAAGGCCAAATGGAGAAATGTGTTTGGTGCCCTACATCCATTTTCTGATGCTGCAACAGATGATCACAGACAGAGTAAATGATAAATAATATAAGCTTATTTGTCTGACAGATCTGGGTGTTGTGAAGGCCAAGAGCATGCATGAGACAGAGAAGAAATCAGGTAGAACTCATGCTTTTTTGTCAAGAACCTAGTCCTATAATACTAACCCACCCTCATGCTAATGGCATTAATCTACTTATTGAGGGCAGAACCCTCATGATCTAATGACTTCTTTTTTTTTTTTTAATTCATTTGACAGGTAGAGTTATAGACAGTGAGAGAGAGAGACAAAGAGAGAAAGGTCTTCCTTCTGTTGGTTCACTCCCCAAATGGCCGCTACGGCTGGCGCTATGCCGATCCGAAGCCAGGAGCCAGGTGCCTCCTCCTGGTCTCCCATGCGGGTGCAGGGGCCCAAGTACTTGGGCCATCCTCCACTGCCTTCCTGGGCCACAGCAGAGAGCTGGACTGGAAGAGGAGCAGCCGGGATTAAAACCTGCACCCATATGGGATGCTGACACCGATAACCAAGTAAGCCACGGCGCCGGCCCCCCTAATGACTTCTTAAAAATCTCACCTCTTCATACTGTTACAATGACAATTGTATTTCAACATGAATTTTGGAGGGGACATTCAAATGATAGCACCTTACCCTCTTAATCCTCTCTTACCTGCCTTTTGCGGGTGACCTCATGACACTGGCCTGCCCTAAGCCACTAATTTTCTCTGTGCATGGCCCATGATGCTTTGTGTATAGGCACTCAACCGTGTGTGCTGACTTAGATTGCATAAGGCAACTGACACGTGGCCCTGCCTGGGGTTTGAGCTTGTGCTCAGCACAGATGTAAGTATGCAGGGAAGGGAGGCTCCCTGAGTGCATAGCTTCTCTGTTCTCCTTTGTGCCTTTCTCCAAGCCTTGGTCACTGGGCCCAGGATTGGCTTCCAGCATAATGACTTCCCAAGCACAGATGCACTTGGCCTTAGCGACTTTTTCCAACTAAAACCAACCCAATACCCAAGTTTTGGAAGCCAGACCTTTCCTAATGGCATTAAGAACAAGGGCATTTTGACACAGCCTATGCCAGGGGTGACCTCTGAGGACATTATACTCAGTGAAATTAGCCAAGCACAAAAGACTAAACACGGTATGATTCCACTTGTGTGAGGTCCCTAAAGCAGTCAGGTTGGTAGAGAAAGACAGTAGAATGGTCGCTGTCAGGGGTAGGGTGGTGGGGCAGTTAGTTTTAACGAGCACAGAATGTTATTTTGAGAAGATGGAAAGGTTCTAGCGATAGATGGTAGTGAATGATGCATAAGAATGTGAACATACTTGGTGCCAGTGAAGTGTCCGCTTAAATTTTTATGTTATGGGTATTTTACCACTTCAAAAAAAGAAAAAGAAAAAAAGAAGTACCAGACTGTTCTGCAGTCTCGAGAGAGAGAGAAAATTATATGTAGGTTGAGTAATAAATTTGAGCCTTCATTTTATTATTAAAAGAGAAAACTCAGCATATGTCCATGTTAATGCAGTTTTCAATCACATTTTGTAATGAGGTGAGTCACCGCACTTTGTTTCCTTCTTCTGTCTTCTTTCCTTTAGTTTTTTTTTTTAAACTTTATCTAAATTATGCAAGTTTCATGTATTTCATATAGACAGAATCAGGAATGTAGTGACACTTCCCTCCCTCCCACCCATGCTCCAACACTTCCCCCTCCCTCTCCCATTTCCACTCTTAATTTTTACAGAGATCTAGTTTCAGTTTACATAATGATAGTAAAGTTAACCCTACACTAAGTAAATGAGTTCAATAAATAGTATGAAGAAAAAAAAACACTGTTCTTCAAAAGAAGACAAAAGGGCTGAAAACAATCATCGAATCTCAAATGCCCATTTCACTCCAATACATTGCATTTTAGGTACTCTAAATGAAATGGATTTGGAATGTGCTTGGATAGGTGAAAGAATCCATTTCAACTGGACTTACTTTCCGGCCTAATGGACACATAGAGATGCGATGAGAATACGGAAGGGTATGGTTTCTAGGGTCCCCTACAGCTCTGAAGGTGCCTGGGCCCGAGCCTCAAATTCTCTCACCAGCAATAAGCCCTGCAATGTGGGGACACTGCTTTTCTCAGGACCCAGATTATGTTCTTGACAGTGGTTATGGTTGAATTGTGCCCCCTTCCCAAAGATATGTTGAAGTCCAAACCCTCAGTACTTCCGAATGTGAGTGTATTTGGAGACAAGGTCTTTCTAGAAGTAATTAAGATGGGCTCAGTAGAGTGGACACTAATACAATCAGACTGGTATCCTTAAAAAAGGGGGGGATTTGTACACAGACCGACACACAGTGACAATACCTTGCAAACATACCCAAGATGGCCAAGGCCAACAATGGACTCTTCCTTCACAGCCCTAAGAAAGAGCCAGTTCTATGGACTCCCAGCTTCCAGACCTGTGGCACAACAGATAGGTGTTGTTTACACCACCCTTTGTTATAGTGGCAATCAGAAATGAATACAGTAGGTAGAGTGGGCCTCCATTTTCAATTTTCATTCTTGTCTTTTCTTAATAGGTGGCTTCTAGAAATGGAAGAAGGGAGAGAAGGCGAGTGAGAATGGGCTTTATGAAGGGACTGTACAGAGCACACAGCAAGTCTCCTCAGCTTGATGATTCATGGCTGTGGCACCAGCCACCCTAGGAGACGGTAACTTTTCTGATGCAAACAAACCTCAGTTCATTAATTCTTGTCACTTACAAAGGGAAGTCAAATTCAATGCTGAGATGCAGGGGTTATTCTGAGGAACTTCTAATGCTCCCTGATCATTAGCACGTGGCTATGGCTAAGCTCGTAGTCAGGCCATCAACAGCCTCTCACCTTCTCTCAGTCCACGAGTGTCTGCAGCTTAGGCGCAAAATTATTCTCTGTCAAAGAGAATAATTCTTTGGTCAAAGCACCTCTACTCAGCTCATCATGGGTCTTTAACTAGGACCAAGGAAATTGCTGTCTGATTATTCTCTTTAGCTCCATCATTAGGGAACAGTATCTAAAGACTTAGCTCAAATAAATTTTTCTCTAAGAAGATTGGCCCTGATAAGTGAGGAGATGAGCTGTTCAAAGTGGTTTAGGGACCCAACTTCATTTCAGCTCATCAAAGTATAGTGTTATCCTCACAACTCCTTTTTTGGTTTAATTTCTCTCCAATAAGCTCTTCTGCCTGAATTTTATGTAAAATGTACAGCACTTGCAGTTGCAAAGATGTTGCATTGGAAATTAATTCAAAAGTGCTACTTTTTTACTGGAATACTGTCATTTTTAAACGTGTTTTTTGTGTTGTTCAAAGAACTGTATATAGAGAAGTAGCAAGGTATGCATTAAGCACTGAACAAGAAATTACCTAATTTTGTGTTTACTAAGTCATTCTATCTTCAGTGGGCCAGTTCTTTTCTCTCTCCAGTCTATTGTATGCCATCTTGTCTACTCTCCAGTCACCGTCTTTCTCCTAGCAATGTCCAAATACATTTCTCCAGCCCTGACTTCTCCTCTTAATGTCGGTCTTGCACAGCCGTCTGCCCCTGGGACACCTCCACTCAGTTGTTCCTTGACTCTTCAGACCTAGCCTATTCAAATCACCAGCATCTTCTCCCCTCCTCCAACCTGCCTCCCTACCACTTCCTAGCATCTCCAGAGATGACAGGAAATTAACTTGCCAAACTCTTGGCAAGTCCTTCTTCAATGACCATCCTCTTGAACCTTTCCCTCATTCCCTTATTGGTTCCTGACCTTGTAAACTCAACCTGCTAAATCTCTTTGCAATCCTCCCACTCCTCTCTATTCTCACCATCTCTGAAGTTATCCAGTGTTGTGCCTTGAGCAAAGACACGTTGAGCTAGGATCACATTTGCTGCAGAGGATTCACATAATGCCTCCATTCATGAGTGAGTCTTCCCAGGTTTCCATAGGTAGGCATCCCTGTGGAGCCTTTCCCAGGAGCCATTGTGAGGAATGGGTTTTTCCTTCTCAAGGAGAGATCTGAGGCAATAGAAAAAGGAGAAACTTTACCACGTAGTGCACTTTACCCTTCCAAGCCCAAGACCCTGGCACTGGCCCAGAGGCAGATAGAGTAGGAGCCACCACCTTCCTACATGGGAAGCATTTCCCATTTGCTCCTTAGAGAAAGTGTGAGAGACAGAAGTGAGTCTGAGCCTAAACTAGGAAATAGATAGGGTTTGTTTTTGGCTGTTTTCAACCTTCTTTTATTCTCTTCTGAAGTACCCTAGGCTCTCAGTACCCTCATGCTGGCCTTGGGTTTCCACAACCCTTGGTTGCCTACCTCACCCACCTCCTCAACGAGAACCTAGATCCTAATCTTTCCTTCCTCTGTCATCCATTCTCAGTCCTTCCCCCAAAGAATACCAACGTAGAGGAATTTGTCTCTACAGTGGGATCAGAAGAGCAGGGCAGTCATCCGAGCTCGCTCCTGCTCAAATAACTGATGAAATGCTAGCCCAAGAGCTTGGTATCCATGTGACACAGCCCTCTTCTGGGTGTGTTGGGTAGAGAGCAGGAATGATGTGCTACTCCCGCTTATATGATCTCAAGCTCAGCATTTGCACACCCCCTCTCTTTTCTATCCCACATGATTTACCAGTCCTTTGGCTTAAATTTAATGAAAACATTTAAGTCTTTTTTTAGAGCAGTTTCAGGGTCACAGCAAAATTGAAAGGAAGGTGAGAGATCCCACGTGTCTCTTGCTCCTCACATGCACAGCCTGCTCCATTATCAGTGTCCCCCACTTGTTACAATTAGATTAATTTTTATTATGAAATATATCATACATAAAAATGAAGAAAAATAGTCATGCAACCAATGCTTACATGATCACCTTAAGTAATTAAACAATGCAAATGCAAATGAAGTTTCTCCTCCACCCTACCCTGATTTCACTCTCCTGCCTCTGCCCCAAGGTAATCACTATTCTGAATTTAGTGATTTTCTATTTATTTCTAATTTTTAAACTTTATGTAAGGGAACAAATTGCATGTATTTCATATATACAGTTTTAAGAACATAATACTAGGGGCTGGCACTGTGGCGCAGTGGGTTAAAGCCTCCATCTGCAGTGCTGGCATCCCATATGGGCGCTGGTTCGAGTCCTGACTGCTCCACTTCCAATCCAGCTCTCTGCTGTGGCCTAGGAAGACAGTGGCATATGGCCAAGTTCTTGGGCCTCTGCACCCACGTGGGAGACCTAGAGGAAGCTCTTGGCTCCTGGCTTCGGATCGGGATAGCTGCAGCCGTTGCGGCCATCGGGGGAGTAAACCAGTGGATGGAAGACTCTCTCTGTCTCTCTCGCTCTCTCTTTCTGCCTCTGCCTCTGCCTCCCTGTAACTCTGCCTTTCAAATAAATAAATAAATCTTTTAAAAAAACCGTAATGATATTTGCCACCCTACCTTCCTTCCCTTTCCTATCTTTATTTTAATTTTTGCAATAAAATACTTTCCTTTTTATTTTAAAAAAGCAAAAATATCCTAGTTTGGTGAGAATATAGACAGTGTCTATAAATAATAATTGAATGGAAAAATGACCATTTCACCCATATACAGTACGTTTTAAAGTGATCACAGATTATTAAAACTAGTAGCTGGGAACCGATAGAATAAATAAAGGGGAGAGTGATCCAACATGGGAAGTGAGATACTCAGCAGACTCATAGAATGGCAGATGTCCTAAATAGCACTCTGGCCTCAGAATCAGCCCTAAAGGCATTCGGATCTGGCTGAAAAGCCCATGAGAGTATTTCAGGCATGGAAAGCCAAGACACTCTGGCAAAAGATCTCTGTGAGTGAGATCCCAGTGGAAAGAACAGGTCTTCAAAGAAGGAGGTACCTTTCTCTGAAGGGAGGAGAGAACCTCCACTTTGACTATGACCTTGTCTAAACAAGATAAGAATCGGAGAACTCAGAGGGCTTCCATAGCCTTGGAAACTCATGACTGGAGCATAGGGAGATTACTGATGCCATAGACAGGAGTGTCAATTGGTAAAGTCAACAACAGGAGTCACTGTGCACTTACTCCTCATGTAGGATCTCTGTCCTTAATGTGCTGTGCATTGAGATTTAATGCTATAACGAGTACTCAAACAATATATTTCACTTTGTGTTTCTTTGGGGGTGCAAACTGTTGAAATCTTTACTTAATGTATACTAAACTGATCCTCTGTAAAAAAAAAAAAAAAGAAATTATCAACTCCCAACTTGACTCTCACTGGGATTAAACATGACAATAGATCTGATCTGATTTCATCATCATTTAAAAAAAATCATCTATTATTTTTCACTTTATGTTTCTGTGTGGGAGCAAACTGTTGAAATCCTTACTTAATGTATACTAAGCTGATCTTCTGTATAATAAGATAATCGAAAATGAATCTTGATGTGAATGGAAGGGGAGAGGGAGTGGGAAAGGGGAGGGTTGTGGGTGGGAGGGACGGTATGGGGGGGAAGCCATTGTAATCCATAAATCGTACTTTGGAAATTTATATTCATTAAATAAAAGTTAAAAAAAAAAACTAGTAGCTGGGGCCGGCGCTGTGGCACAGCAGGTTAAAGCCCTGGCCTGAAGCAGTGGCATCCCATATGGGCACTGGTTCTAGTCCTGGCTGCTCCACTTCCAATCCAGCTCTCTGATATGGCCTGGGAAAGCAGTAGAAGATGGCCCAGGTCCTTGGGCCCTTGCACCTGTGTGGGAGATCTGGAAAAAGCTCCTGGCTCCTGGCTTTGGATCAACACAGCTCTGGCCATTGCAGCCAATTGGAGAGTGAACCAGCAGATGAAAGCCCTCTCTCTCTCTCTCTACCTCTCTCTGTAACTCTGTCTTTCAAATAAATAAAATAAATCTTAAAAAAAAACTGTAGTAGCAAAGCATTCTTAACCATTGGTCTGACAAAGCTATAAAACAAAGTTTTACAAAGCTATATTTGCAGCAATATTGACACACACAGGCATTTTTTTTCTTTTTTTTTCTTCTTTCTTTCTCATTTTCTCTTAATTCTAGCTCCCACATGTAAGGGAGAGCATGTGGTATTTGTCTTTCTGTGTGTGGCTTATTTCACACAATATGATGTCCTCCAGTTGTGTTCATTTTGCTGCAAATGGTAGATTTTCATTCTTTGTAATAGCTGAATAATATTCCATTGTGTGTATATAGCACATTTACTTTTCTTTTTTTTAAAGATTTATTTATTTGAAAATCAGAGTTACACAGAGAGAGAAGGGGAGAGAGAGAGAGAGAGAAAGAGAGAGAGAGAGAGGTCTTCATCCAATGGTTCACTCCCCAGATGACCGCAATGGCCAGAGCTGAGCCAATCCACAGCCAGGAGCCAAGAGCCAGGAGCCAGGAGCTTCTTCAGGGTCTCCTATGCGAGTACAGGGGCCCAAGGTCCTACCCATGTTCTACTGCTTTTCCAGGCCGTAGTAGAGCGATAGATTGGAAGTGGAGAAGCCGGGTCTTGAACCAGCGCCCAAATGGGATGCTAGCACTTCAGGCAGTGGCTTTACCTGTTACACCATAGCGCCAGCCCCTATGCACACCTTGGTTGATTCCAAATTTTTGGCTATTGTGAACAGTGCTGCTATAAACATGGTGGTGTGGGTGTCTCTATGAAGCATTGTTTTCATGTCTTTTGGGTATATACCCAGTAGTGAGATTGCTGGATCATTTGGGAAGTCTATTTCTAGTTTTCAAAGAATCTCCAAACTGTTTCCCACAGTGGCTGCAGTAATTTACATTCCCACCAGCAGTGTATTGAATTTGGTAAGTTTTCATTCCCATGCAATCCTCTAATGTTTTACTCAATATTTATGTATCCATAAAACATGCAGTATTATTTTGCATGTTTTTAAGCCCTACAAAATGATATCATGCTATAACTTACCTTTCTGAAACTCATTTATTCACTCATGTTTCTGAGATCTCTCCACACTGATATATGTACTTTGAATCATGCATTTTAACTGCTGTATAGTATTCCATTATAGGAATATACCACTATGTATTTCCCCATTCTCCTCTTGATGGACATTTTAGTGTTTTTATTTTTTTGCTCTTACAAACTAGTGTTGCCTTTTTTTTTTTTTTTTTAAGAGACACACAGAGAGAGTGGTCTTCTGTCTACTAATTGACTTTCCAAATGGCTGCAATGACCAGAGCTGGGCCGATCTGAAGCCAGGAGCCAAGAACTTCTTCCGAGTCTTCCACATGGGTGCAGGGGCCCAAGGAAATGGGACACCCTCTGCAGGTACATTAGCAGGAAGGTGGACTGGAAGTGATGCAACTGGGACTCTAACTGGAGCCCATAAAGGATCCAGCACCATAGGCCTGGGCTTTAACCCACTGTGCCACAGTGCTGGCCCCTCTGAATGCTCTTTTACACATCTCCTGGGGCAATGGTTTCTCTATGGAGGTTCTTTTTACTTTTTGTAAAAGTAATTTTATTTTCTAAAAGGATTTATTTATTTATTCATTTGAAAGGCAGAGTTACAGAGAGATATCTTCCATCCACTGTTCATTTCCCAAATGGGCACAATGGCCAGGGCTGGGCCAGGCCAAAGCCAGAAGCTGGAACTCCATTCAGGTCTTCCACATGCGTGCCAGGGGCCATTTTCAGATGCCTTCCCAGGTGTATAAACAAGATTGAAAGTAGAGAAGCTGGGACTTGAACTGAAGTTCATATGGGTTGCCAGTATTGCAGGCTGCAACTTAACCCACAGAATCACAATGATGGCCTCAAAGCATTTTTATTTTGAAATGCTTTTGGACTTATGGAAAAATTGCAAAAATAGTACAGAGTTTTCACACTGTGTTCACCCAGATTCCTCTAATTATTGATATCACATAACCATAGTACAATAATGAAAACCAGGACTGGCTCCGTGATGTAGCAAGTAAAACTGACGCCTGTGACGCCAGCATCCCATATGGGCACCAGTTTGTGTTCCTGCTGCTCCACTTCTGATCCAGCTCCCTGCTAATGGCCTGAGAAATGTAGTGGAAGATAGTCCAAGTGCTTGGTGCCCTGGCACTCATGTGGGAAACTGGATGAAACTCCTGGCTTTGGTCCAACCCAGCGTTGGCCATTGCTACCATCTTGGGAGTGAACCAGCCAATGGAAGATCGATCTCTCTCTCTCTCTCTCCCCCCCCTCCCCTCCCCTCTCTTCCCCTCCCCTCTTCTCTCTGTGACTCTGACTTTCAAAGTAAATAAATAAATCTTTTTAAAAAAATGCTTTGTCTGTTCTACTTAATATGACTGATTTAATTCTGTAATTAATAC